TGAATAAAATCTAAATCTAACTCCGACACTCAATTTAAGTCAGTGCAACAATTCGAAGCAATTTTAAATAAATTTCAATGGCAAGAAATTGTATTCCACCTACCCCCAACAACAACAAAAAACAACAAACAAAACAAAAACAAACAACAACAAAAAACAATAAAAACATGCGTCTTTATACAAACGCCAAAATAAACTCGTTTTAAATGAATAAAAATAAATGATTTCATGAATAAACATAAAAAAAACCATGTATATAGGCTTGCAACTATGGAGAAAATTAAACATGGATATTTCACAAAACAGCTAAATTATGTACATTATTCAGATTGTACATGCCCAAACTGACAAACAGATGAACATGTAAAATACGTTTGTGAGTGTACTGTCTCGACACACACTGGCGTGAACTATGCAATTGCGTTCGGGAGCGGGCACGTCTTTCCCCAAGGCTTGTTTGCGGTATGAAACAGACCGAACGGATGTACAATTATGAATAGTCGTGTGTGTTGACTATATCGCGAGCTGTGGTGATTATTAAACACCAGTTATATGAGATATGTTTAGGAACAATCACTCCAAAAGGCCTGGGCTCAAAGCTTGTTTTTAGAGTGAAAATGTGATCAGTAAAAGAAAAGAAAACGTGTTAGGATTAAACTGTTTTTACGACCGACATTGAGAATTTCTGTAAAGAATCGTTGAACCTAAAACAAATATATTCGTGGTTATAGTGTCTGAAAAGAAATACCAGCATACCATCACAATCATTTTAGTTTAGAAAAATCCGCTGAATCCACGAAACCGAATGCTGAGGTGCACATTTGCAACATTCAAATTGCTCGCCTGGATGTTTCACAGACTTGTGTCTTTAGGCTCAAGTCTGTATTTGTGTAGTTAATTGTGGCGTACCCGGTCACTGTGCCTGTAACTTTCTAAAGTCGAACTCTCTGTGTCTCTGTGACTCATGTCCCTGTGACCTCGTGCTCCACGCCTGTATCTCCGTGCTTCATGTCTCTGTATCTCCTTGCTTCATGTCACTGTATCTCCGTGCTTCATGTCTCTGTATCTCCTTGCTTCATGTCTCTGTATCTCCGTGCTCCACGCCTGTATCTCCGTGACTCATGTCTCTGCATCTCCGTGCTTCATGTCTCGGTATGTCCATGCTTTATGTCCCTGTATATCCGTGCTTCATGTCTCTGTATCTCCGTGCTTCATGTCTCTGTATCTCCGTGCGTCATGTATCTGTATCTCTGTGCTTCATGTCTCTGTATCTCCGGGCTTCATGTCTCTGTATCTCCTTGCTTCATGTCTCTGTATCTCCGTGCTTCATGTCTCTGTATCTCCATGCTTCATGTCTCTGTATATCTGTGCTTCACGGTTGTATCTCCGTGCTTCATGTCTCTGTATCTCCGTGCTTCATGTCTCTGTATCTCCGTGCTTCATGTCTCTGTATCTCTGTGCTTCATGTCTCTGTATTTCCGTGCTTCATGTCTCTGTATCTCCATGCTTCACGGTTGTATCTCCGTGCTTCATGTCTCTGTATCTCCGTGCTTCATGTCTCTGTATCTCCGTGCTTCATGTCTCTGTATCTCCATGCTTCATGTCTCTGTATATCTGTGCTTCACGGTTGTATCTCCGTGCTTCATGTCTCTGTATTTCCGTGCTTCATGTCTCTGTATCTCTGTGCTTCATGTCTCTGTATCTCCGTGCTTCATGTCTCTGTATCTCCATGCTTCATGTCTCTGTATATCTGTGCTTCATGTCTCTGTATCTCCGTGCTTCATGTCTCTGTATCTCCGTGCTTTATGTCTCTGTATATCTGTGCTTCACGATTGTATCTCCGTTCTTCATGTCTCTGTAACTCCGTGCTTCATGTCTCTGTATCTCCGTGCGTCATGTCTCTGTATCTCCGTGCTTCATGTCTCTGCATCTCCGTGCTTCATGTCTCTGTATCTCCGTGCTTCATGTCTCTGTATCTCCGTGCTTCATGTCTCTGTATCTCCATGCTTCATGTCTCTGTATATCTGTGCTTCACGGTTGTATCTCCGTGCTTCATGTCTCTGTATTTCCGTGCTTCATGTCTCTGTATCTCTGTGCTTCATGTCTCTGTATCTCCGTGCTTCATGTCTCTGTATCTCCATGCTTCATGTCTCTGTATATCTGTGCTTCATGTCTCTGTATCTCCGTGCTTCATGTCTCTGTATCTCCGTGCTTTATGTCTCTGTATATCTGTGCTTCACGATTGTATCTCCGTTCTTCATGTCTCTGTAACTCCGTGCTTCATGTCTCTGTATCTCCGTGCGTCATGTCTCTGTATCTCCGTGCTTCATGTCTCTGCATCTCCGTGCTTCATGTCTCTGTATCTCCGTGCTTCATGTCTCTGTATCTCTGTGCTTCATGTCTCTGTATCTCTGTGCTTCATGTCTCTGTATCTCTGTGCTTCATGTCTCTGTATCGCCGTGCTTCACGGTTGTATCTCCGTGCGTCATGTCTCTGTATATCTGTGCTGCATGTCTCTGTATCGCCGTGCTTCACGGTTGTATCTTCGTGCGTCATGTCTCTGTATATCTGTGCTTCACGTCTCTGTATCTCCGTGCGTCATGTCTCTGTATATCTCCGTGCTTCACGTCTCCTCATGTCACGTGATCAAAACTCATTGGTGATGTTTATCGCAAACAAAATGGATATTTCTTGAAAGGCGCACACTGCACTTTCTATCATTACTGTTAAGTAATATTCCTTATCGGCGAAATGACTTGTTTTCACTTTACAAGTACTAGCACACACAGCTATTTTCGTTAATTATGCATCGCGATATTTCGTGATTCTATTTTAAGTGGGGAGGACTGCAGGACCTTCTGTTGCTTGATGATTCCACAAACCGATTCGGAACTTGGCATCAGAATGAATCTGGGCCCACGTGCACAAAGTGATCTTAGCCCTACAACTATTGTGAGCCTATGTTAACGTATTGGAGTTAAGATCATCTTAGCGATAAGATCGCTTTGTGCAAGTGGGCCCTGATTGACACAATATCTCCCAAATGTTTTAATGCACTCATATATAATTTGTACTTCTATGCCCATTGTCATGATTAATATGTTTGATAAACTGAATGGGATGTTATCTCAAGTTCTCAAGTTTTCTATCGTTATCACTGACGGACCAGTCCATTGCACCAAAGGCATAGAACACAACAGTTACTGTAGGGGCCATTGCTGTTTGAGACTGCAGGCATATTGACTATAGGGGTTATGCATGTGTATGGGTTACCGTTACCGAGTGAATCGACGCGCGCTCTCGGCTGAAAGCGATTTAAAAAATAGATAACACAACTGCCTGTATAGGTTAATGCAGGGCACTACTATTTTGTGACTGCAGGGGTATTGATGGAGGGGTTATGCAAGTGTAGAGGCGTGAATCGACGTGCGCTCTCGGCTAAAAGTGACTGTAAATACAGTTAGCTTAAATAGAAAGAATTCACCTATAATCATCAACTGTTCTAGATTTATATTTATGTATTTTATAGGTAAAGTGTGAAGGGTGTGGTATGAATAGTGTTTGAGTAAATTGTACAAACACTAAATTACCTTCCAGACTATAAGTATCCCGTGATCACAGACCTTTTTCCTGATGAGTCTTGTTTATTTAGAAATCGGCTTTGGTATCCAAAACTCTCGATATAGAAAATCTTCTGTAATTGGTGTATTGTAATACGCTGTGGAGAGTTGCGGCCCTTAGCCGTGTCAGCATCTGCTGATCGTTGGTTCGAATACCAGATCCGTGCTCCTTGTGATCCTAGATTTAAACGGTCACCATGCCAACGTGCTGATGAATTTCCCCGAAAGTGTAACGTCGAAAACTGGCATCAGTGTCCAGGGCTTGGTGGACACACAGTCGGCCAGGTTACACATTGCAACCACCGATACTCATTTGTCATACGTCGCACTTGGTAAGCGGTTTGGATCTTTATCACTTCGGACGTGACGTAACTAAAATACTGTTTAAAGCGACGTTAAACCTGCTTTACAGCGCATATAAAACAAGATGTGCAACGCAGAAATATTAATTTCCCCATTAGTTTCGACTGATTGAACAAGTGTGTTAATGCGATCTCTCAATAGCCTTGTGACAAAAAAACCATAAACATTCAGTTATTAGAGGGTCATGATCATGAAGCAAACACACACACACACACACACACACACACACACACACACACACCTGATGCTTACTCTGTTCAAGTATGTACCATCGGCCACTATTAGAGAGTCGTGATCATGGAGCACACACACACACACACACACACACACACACACACACACACACACATGATGCTTACTCTGTTCAAGTATGTACCATCGACCACTATTAGAGAGTCGTGATCATGGAGCGCACACACACACACACACACACACACACACACACACACACACACACACCTGATGCTTACTCTGTTCAAGTATGTACCATCGACCCTGAGATAGAGCTCACAAAGGTCAAGTTTAGCTTGTGAAATGTACTTGCGCGAAGTGGTGAGTGTATTATTATAAGTTGTAGCAAGATCACGAGGAGTACATAGGGTTGTATGCCGCGTTTGGTTTAATAGAACCTATTGAGGGACGCACAAAACATCATGTACCCCCAGGAATCATACTGCAATGAATTTATCTCACCGACATAATTACATGACATTGTTTTAATATGACATTTAGAAGAATTAGAACAATTCGAAATCGATAGAAAACAGCTGTTTGATTGAGCTGAGATTAATTCGTGCTATGTCACTTGACTTTCATTGCCTCGGAAGAACGTGCGACATTTTGCTTCGAAAGGGGTAGAAGGAATTTATTCTTGTCTCTTAGAAATCCTTATTGCTTCGTTGTGGGTATAAGGGATTTATTCTCCCGCTGAAAAAAAATATTTCCCTGCAAGGCGGGATACATAGTATTTTATCACGTGGACCAATCAGATTAATCATTCTGACATGGAGGTGTGATAAAATAGCATATATAATAACTAGTTGTAACTGGATCTCTCCTGCTGCTTGCGTTGCATGGCTCACAGCAACTGGCGTGCTTATCGTGGGATATTCTTTGTTCTGAGCAGATGGACAACTACCCGGTACATGTACGAGGTGAGTGTAGTTGTACTGGTCTGGAAACATGAGTTTCTCTTGTATGCTGATACATGGTGTACGGCAGATATTTCACGTGGGGAAGGAAACTTTATAGTTGATCTTCCTTGACAGGGGACAACAGGGGTAAGGGAGTAACCAGTTGATTTTCAAGGGGGAGGGGGATCCTAAGAAGGATCTGAAACCTCTTATTGTCAAATCAGATTTTAGTTTTCTCTGGAGTCATAGCAGAAGGACAGTTTCGTAAATTTAGAGTTTGACTATGTTTTATTCCCATTCCATTTTGTCGCTAAGATTAAAAAATGAAATGGTCAATATAACAAGAAAAATCCCTTGGTACGGATTTTCGCTGTAAGGAGTTGTTTCCCTTAGGAATGCCAGGATCATATGATCGTGACTTTGAATCGCCTTGAGCATGATTCTATTTGCACCATACTTCTAATTTTTTAAACGACCGAGACCTGCATGCATTTATATGCATCATATGCACGAAGTGTTCTGATATAGCTGAAATATTATCAAATGTGGCGTGCTCACCGAGTAATCCAACGCGGTGATCATGCGCCCCATGCACGCTTCACCTGGAATGCCCTGATGGAGCTGAAATATTGTTAAATGGAGTGTAAATACCAAACTCACTCACTTCGAATATGCCGTAGTCCTGCCATGGACACAGAGTATTACATAAACGTATTGTGTTCAACACACATATATTCACGTATACCGAACCTACTCATGTGTTGGACTTCATGTAAATAATAGAAATGCTGCGGTCACACATGTGATGATGAACCGTCAACTGTGGAACTCGCACGCCTACGATATTAGTACAATAACAATTTACAAAACCGGACTTGACTCATGCATCACGTCAAATGCTCATCGTCACAAGACCGGCGGTTAGGGAAGGGGGGGGGGGGGGGGGGGGGGGGGGGTCGTGTCGAGTAAGGAGCCGTAATTCTCTGGGCAGAGTTGCGTCCCTTGGAACCAGAAACCTATGATTGTGGGTTCGAATCGCCCCGATTATGTATCTAGGTTTGTCAGCACCATACCCGTGCTTGTTGGTTTCACCGAAGTGGTAAACGTCTGAGACCTACATCACTTCGGGCTTTCCTCCCATATTAAGCTGACACGCCGCGATAAACCGATAACCCCAACTCACTCACTCTCATATTTACAGCGGGATATCGAACGTCTTTTGACGAGGGGAGGTTAATCCAATGCAATCTTTATTCATAAAGTAGTGGAGGCCACAGGCCCAGTCTACAGTTACATCATTACTTGAGAGAGTAACAGCATAAATACATTGGTACGTTCATAGACATTGTTGACCCAAATGATTGTCTTAGTTACATTGACTTCTATACAAACGTTGCAAGATTTTTTACATTTTACACTTATGTAATGGATGTAAGTAGTATTTTGGGGGGTATATACAAACTCCTGAAATTGTCATAAGCATAACACACTAGTACAACATGGTGTTCATCTTCTATGTATCTGTGTTGGCATACATGATATATTCTATCTGATTTTACTTCTTTAACATATCTACCAGTTTCAATCGGAGCTGGTGTGAAGAACATCTAGGTTAAGCTAATGCAGCACGGAATTTTGAAATGGACATTTCTTTAATATAGAATTCGAGGCTAAAGGACATTTTGAAAGAAGCGTAGGTTACCAATTTAGAACTTGAAAAACGTGCTGGATGCCAATCTTGCTCGTGGTCTGTATACTAACTCAGATATAAAAATAGATACATTATGTACAGGTCCTTATTCCAGACATATCCGGAAGCAAACCTGTATAAAATATCTTTAACACGTTCCATTTTAATTCTGGAAACCCAATAGTCCAGAAACTCTACGGTCTTTGCCCAGTCTCGGTCAAGGGTATTTACAAAAATAAACATGTTGTTTTCATGGGAAAAAGAAAGAAAATGTTCAAAATCTCAATATTTACACTGTGGCCCTAACTTAATCCAGCGATTTTATCGCGATATTGAAATATTTCGCCCATGGGCGAGAAAAAGGTTTGGTCCATGGGCAGGCCCATGGGCGAGAATATGTTCCCTTACTTAAAACTCATGTTTTTATTTCGCAAATACATAAATGTATTTCTTTCAAGTATCATGACACAACATTTAACTCAATTTAACTGAATTCATCGATTATTTAAGATCTTCAACACCTTATATTGTATATTGTTTTGAAATGTCTCGCCTCATGAACACGTTTCGTATTTCAATTTTGTATTCAATTCCACACATGACTGCACACAACATTTATATATTTTACATGTATACGACGGTTACATGGGCAAGTATAACGGTACGCACAAACGTGTGTTTGTTTAACATTTTTGTGTGTTAAAACACGTGTTATTTTAAAGGGAAATATAAACATTTGGTCTGTTCGGGTAACTAATTCTAGCTATTGTTTCCTGAATAACATATTATTTACTTCAGGCATACACATATTATTTGGTGTCATATGACACCAGATGTTGTTATCAACCAATACTCATGTCGTAAACAACCATAGAAATGTTAAACTTCAATGCTAGAGAATAACCAATTGTTTCCAACGAAACAAATTCCTTTTGGCATAAACGTTGATAAGCGGTAAATATATATTAATGGATGAATGAAAATCAGTAATGACGCAGTTGTTTGCAAAAATTAGTTGTTGCCTCAGATGAATAGATGAAGTTATGCCGAAACAGTAAGCTCTTAGAACTCTTTTGTTTGCCAGCTGGGACCATGTCAGTATATCAGGTATGAAATTAAGTTTATTTTCTTAAACCCAGTTAGTCTTTCCATTCACACAATCTAGAACTATTAAGTTGTAACATTTTTTTGCTTATCTGGTGTCAGGCATATTCAGTATTTTACACCAGTATTTAACAACCTTTCGATATGTTTTATGTGAGTTTAATCAAGAACGGTAGTCTGTGACGTTGTGAACATTACATTATTTTGCATACCTTATTATGAATTTGTCATTTTAAAATGAAATCCGCCAATAACATGTGATTTCACAGAAATTGGGTCACAGCTATGGTTAGCCACAGATGGGAGGCTAGTACAAATATGAAAGTATAAATATTATTCACTTACCTTGTTATGCTCACTGCGTCACTGGTGGGTGTTACCAATTCAAATGTTTATCACATTAAAGACCATCGACCCAAATACATGCAGTGCATACAATACAGTGCAGTACAATACGATTGGGCAGGACATGCTTACCCTTTTTCTCGAACACCTGGTGTCATCACTGGTAATCAGTGGTCCATCCATAAAATGGCCATAACTATTTTTGTCTTTTACTTGGTCATGTCAACATACAGAGTACACAAGAATACATAGTGTCTATATACATTGTTGTACTTGGTCATGTCACCATACAGAGTACACAAGAATACATAGTGTCTATATACATTGTTGTACTTGGTCATGTCAACATACAGAGTACACAAGAACACATAGAAGTGTCTATATACATTGTAGTACTTGGTCATGTCACCATACAGAGTACACAAGAATACATAGTGTCTATATACATTGTTGTACTTGGTCATGTCACCATACAGAGTACACAAGCATACATAGTGCCTATATACATTGTTGTACTTGGTCATGTCAACATACAGAGTACACAAGAATACATAGTGTCTATATCCATTGTTGTACTTGGTCATGTCACCATACAGAGTACACAGGAATACATAGTGTCTATATACATTGTTGTACTTGGTCATGTCAACATACAGAGTACACAAGAATACATAGTGTCTATATACATTGTTGTACTAGGTCATGTCACCATACAGAGTACACAAGAATACATAGTGTCTATGTACATTGTTGTACTTGGTCATGTCACCATACAGAGTACACAAGCATACATAGTGCCTATATACATTGTTGTACTTGGTCATTTTAACATACAGAGTACACAAGAATACATAGTGTCTATATACATTGTTGTACTAGGTCATGTCAACATACAGAGTACACAAGAATACATAGCAGTGTCTATATACATTGTTGTACTTGGTCATGTCACCATACAGAGTACACAAGAATACATAGTGTCTATATACATTGTTGTACTTGGTCATGTCAACATACAGAGTACACAAGAATACATAGTGTCTATATACATTGTTGTACTAGGTCATGTCACCATACAGAGTACACAAGAATACATAGTGTCTATATACATTGTTGTACTTGGTCATGTCAACATACAGAGTACACAAGAATACATAGTGTCTATGTACATTGTTGTACTTGGTCATGTCAACATACAGAGTACACAAGAACACATAGGGTCTATATGCATTGTTCTTTCTGATCATGTCACCATACAGAGTACACAAGAATACATAGTGTCTATATACATTGTTGTACTTGGTCATTTTAACATACAGAGTACACAAGAATACATAGTGTCTATATCCATTGTTGTACTTGGTCATGTCAACATACAGAGTACACAAGAATACAGTGTCTATATACATTGTTGTACTAGGTCATGTCAACATACAGAGTACACAAGAATACATAGTGTCTATATCCATTGTTGTACTTGGTCATGTCAACATACAGAGTACACAAGAATACAGTGTCTATATACATTGTTGTACTTGGTCATGTCACCATACAGAGTACACAAGAATACATAGTGTCTATATCCATTGTTGTACTTGGTCATGTCAACATACAGAGTACACAAGAATACATAGTGTCTATAAACATTGTTGTACTTGGTCATGTCACCATACAGAGTACACAAGAATACATAGCAGTGTCTACTTAGACCCGGGTTCGATTCCCGACATGGGTACATTGTGTGATTCCCATTTGTGGTGTCCCCCGCAGTGCTATTGCTGGAATATTACTAAAAGCGACGTAAAACCATACTCACTCACTCAGTCCATTAGTTTTTTGTTCAACACCGCACTCTGTAAATAATCGAGTCTGGACTTGATATCATGGGCTTTGATTTACGCAACTAGGGTGCGATGACAAGGATCAACCAAGTCAGCGAGTCTAACCAGCCGATCCATTTAGTCGATTCTTACATTCAGCATTGGTTGCTGAAGACTAATCTACGGAGTGACTACATATGTATAGAGCCACTCTGTATGTAGGCTGCATATGTAAGCTATATGCTAGATATTGATGTTCTTTGTGTGCTTTGTGTATGAATACATAAGTTGGAATTGAGTTGGGCCATACATTCGTGACATCAAAACAACGCCGCAATATTCCAGCTATATGAATGAATGAATATATCAGAAGAGCAGAACACCAGAAGAGCAGAACAGCACAACCAGGTAAAGGTGAATTTTAACAGAAGAATATGTTGTCCAGTACTGTCATGCCAGTATGTGCTGTTGCAGTGCCGTGGTGGAGATGTCGCCGGTACTGGCTATCTGCCTTGCTGTTCGCTGGGTTCGCTTTCTTCACAATCATCCGAGCCAACCTTAGCATCGTGATAGTGTGTATGGTGAAACATGGCAGCCACCCCAACGCGACTGCTGTTGCTAACAACGGTTCTGATTGGTCTAACACGACATATAGCGTGGGAGGAACAGAGACGGACACCAGCAAGTGTCGGAGCAGAAGCGTCTCTGCATCATCCACTGACCAGGTGAGGGTTTCGCCAGTCTACGCATAGTTACTTCCCCTATGAGAGTTTCGTCAATCAAACACATCGTTGCTTCCCTTGTAAGAATTTCACCATTCAAACACATCGTTAATTCCCCTATGAGAGTTTCACCATTCAAACACGTTGTTACATCCCCTGTGAAAGTTTCACCTTTTAAATACACCCTTACGTCCCCTGTAAGAGTTTCACCAATCAAACACATTGCTACTTCCCCTATAAGAGTTTCATCAATCAAACACATTGCTACTTCCCCTATAAGAGTTTCATCAATCAAACACATTGCTACTTCCCCTATAAGAGTTTCACCAAGCAAACAGAAGAAATTACACAACGTGTATATTTTATGAACCCTTGATCAGCGGAAACTGGCACAATTTATGGGGCGCAATATTTCACATTTAGTGAAGACGCATTAGGTCGTTGGACCACCCTTGCCTCCTTGTGATCTGTGCAGGTTATGGAACACGTGGATAATCTGACTGGTGTGTCAACACTTGTTTCCGGAAATCAATAATCGATAAATTTGAAGAAATTGAATGTGGCATTTCACTTTATTCGAACTAGATATTCTTCAGCAACCATTTTGTTACAGGATGGCGAGTTTGAGTGGAGTAAGGAGTTGCAGGGCGTTCTCCTAGGAGGGTATTTCTGGGGTTACTCCTCGGGGTTCCAGGTTCTGGGGGGATGGCTATCTCAGAGATACGGACCCAGGAAGGTGATAGCTGTCGGGATGTTTCCAGCAGCAATAGGGTGTATCCTGAGTCCACTGGCCGTCAGAATCAGCCCCTTTCTGTTCCTGGCGGTCAGGATTATCACGGGGATCACCACAGTAAGTAACCGATACTGGTGCATTCCTGTCGTAGGATCTTGTCCAACACAATGTCGTCTCTTGCTACGAGGTTTTTGTTTTACTGGCTTCGGTATTTCTTATTTCTACGACTGGTATTTTCATTTTCTCAAAACTTTCACAGAATCGTCAATTAAGTTATTTTGACCATGGCAACGAACGGTTAAAACAGATAGTTAATGGATGTTGAAAAATTCTATTACATTTGCACCCCTTCTCACCTTTCCTAAAACTGAATGAAAACCCATAATATACGAAGGTGGTTTTCAAATTACACCCTTATCACAAAAACTAACCACCTTCTCCACGCTATCTGACGATACAATTTCCACCCGCTCCACCCCATCTCACTATATAATGTCCACCCTTTCCATCCTATCTCACTTTATAATACCCACCCTTTCCACCCCATCTCACTATATGATACCAATCCTTTCCATCCTATCTCACTATATAATACCCACCCTTTCCACCCCATCCCACTATATGATACCCACCCTTTCCCCCCCATCTCACCATATATTATCCACCCACTCCACCCCATCTCACCAAATACCCACCCGCTCCACCCCATCTCACCATATACCCACCTTCTCCGCCCTATCTCACTATATAATACCCACCCTCTCCACCCCATTTCACTATATGATACCCACCCGCTCCACCCCATCTCACCATATACCCACCCTCTCCGCCCTATCTCACTATATAATACCCACCCTCTCCACCCCATTTCACTATATGATACCCACCCGCTCCACCCCATCTCACCATATACCCACCCTCTCCGCCCTATCTCACTATATAATACCCACCCTCTCCACCCCATTTCACTATATGATACCCACCCTCTCCACCCCATCTCACCATATACCCGCCCTTTCCACCCCATCTCACCATATATTATCCACCCACACCACCCCATCTCACCATATACCCACCCTCTCCACCCCATCTCACTATATACCCACCCTCTCCACCCCATCTCACCATATACCCGCCCTTTCCACCCCATCTCATCATATATTATCCACCCACACCACCCCATCTCACCATATACCCACCCTTTCCACCCCATCTCACTATATACCCGCCCTTTCCACCCCATCTCACCATATATTATCCACCCACTCCACCCCATCTCACCATATACCCACCCTCTCCGCCCTATCTCACTATATGATACCCACCCTCTCCACCCCATCTCACCATATACCCACCCACTCCACCCCATCTCACCATATACCCACCCTCTCCACTCCATCTCACCATATACCCACCCGCTCCACCCCATCTCACCATATAATACCCACCCTCCCCACCCCTTCTCACTATATACCCACCCTCTCCACCCCATCTCACTATATAATACCCACCCTTTCCACCCCATCTCACCATATAATACCCACCCTCCCCACCCCTTCTCACTATATACCCACTCTTTCCACCCCATCTCACGATCAAATACCCACCCTTTCCACCCCATCTCACTGTATGATACCCACCCTTTCAACCCCATCTGATTATATGATACCCACCCTTTCCACCCCATCTCATTATATGATACCCACCCTTTCCATCCCATCTCACCATACAATACCCACAGTATCCACCCCATCTCACTATATACCCACTCTTTGCACCCCATCTCACTATATAATACCCACCCTCTCCACCCTATCTCACTCTATATTTACCAACCCTCTCCACCCTATCTCACCCTACTTTTCCCACCCATTCCATCCTATCTCACTCTATATTACCCACCCTCTCCATCCTGTCTCGCTGTAAACTACCCACCCTGTCCACATCTTCTCACGGTACAATCTTTTCCCCAGAGTGTGATGTTTCCATCAGGTCCTGTATTCTGGTCCAGATGGGCTCCACCCGAGGAATGGAGCCGCCTTCTCTCTACTACGAACGCCGGTAAGCATTGCCTGCTCTACCGTAGTCCCTGTGTTCACCTGTTGGATCAATCAAATCATGAACGGGTAAAACGAGATGTCCTTCAACAGACGCCATCAAATACGCGCGAGTTCCGAAGATTCGTATACTATAAGTTTGTCATCGTTCTCGGCAACTAGACTTTGCACACAAGCCTATTCTCTTGAAAATTGCTTTTGAAAAACTATGACCCGATATTCATATGTTTGCCGTTGAAACAGGTCCTTTCATAAATACCTACCTAGGAGAGTTTATGTAACTGCTTTTCTCATCGTTTGTGTCCATATCAGTTAAAGAAGGCCATTGAACGGAGATGTCTCCGGCGCACGGGTAGTGTTATGCTGGAGTTCTCGCTATGCACCCTGAGGTCTGACTCACTACACCGTTCATCAAATGTTTACACTCTCGCCTTACGACATGTTTTAAATGGCTAGGTTTTGTTGTCTTAAGGCACATCAGACGAACAACTAGATTTGGTTGCCTTAAGGCACATCAGAGGATCTAAATTTGCTTGTCTTGGGGCACATCAGAAGAACTAGATTTGGTTGTTTTATGGCACATCAACAGATCTAAATGTGCTTGTTTAAAGGCATACCTGAAGATCTAGATTTGCTTGTCTAAAGGCACACCAGAAGAAGGACTAGACTTACCTGTCTTAAGGCACACCAGAAGATCTGGATATGCCTGTCTTAAGGCACATCAGAAGATATAGATATGCTTGTCTTAAGGCACACTTGTGCTTGTCTTAAGGCACACCAGAAGATCTATATATGCTTGTCTTAAAGTACACAAGAAGATCTGGATATGCTTGTAAGAAAACATGGAACAAATGTCTATTTCGAGATAGGTGTCCATGAACATGAGTATTGTGAAGTCCTACGGCATGTGTTTTCCAGCGTTTCCTTAAATGTATCTGCATGGTTGTGATACTAGGTTTTACATTTACAATATGATTTGTTTGATTGTTGTTTAACGCCGCACTCAGCAATATTCCAGCTATATGACGGCGGTCTGTAAATAATCGAGTCTGAACCAGACAATCCAGTGATTGACATCATGAGCATGATCCACGCAATTGGGATCGATGACATGCATCAACCAAGTCAGCGAGCCTGACCACCCGATCCCGTTAGTCGCATTGTCGCCTTTTACGGCATGCATGGGTTGCTGAAGACCTATTCTACCCCGGATCTTCACGGTCATTTACCATATGAAATATTCAATGCTTATATGTCTAGTTGTGTACAAGGGGGTCCTTATGACCAAGAATTAGCATTACAAGATTATAATCATATTTTCCCACGCAGGTGGTGAGTTCGGACATGCTGTTGCGTTTCCAATCAACGGACTCTTGTGCAAATACGGCGGCTGGGAGATGCCTTTCTATGTAGTGGGTGAGTCCCTTTAAGACGCATGTATACTGATGGTGTTCACATGGACTCTGGAACACTTTGGAAGAAACCTATATCAACATCTCTGATCATGATGGCTGGAAACAACGAATCGCACAATAGAACGTAAATAGGGCATCGCAGAATGTATGTCATACATAAAGTACTGTGTAAATATGAATATAAAACCGTTGGTTAAGTGTTCGTGTTACGTGATCTCAGATTTCAGCGTCTTTAGCTTCCGTTTGATATCAGCCATACACCTCTCCACTTCAGCTTAAGCAAATATGATGTATAATGAAATTGCACGGTTTGGGTTGAACCGCTGTTGCAGTATCGGATGTCAGAAACTGGCCTAGACTTCACTCACCGTCATGCCGTGGCTCGGAGTTCTTCTGTGCAAATGTTGTTTTTTGAATTGGAGATTCCGGGTATTGTGTTAGAGGGGTAAGCGGCCGAACAGAATCCGGGTGGGTGCCAAAAAAGCACGTGCCAGCTACAACAGCTGGGTCGGGCAAACACCCCGGCATGGGGCTGGGTCATATCCTCCGAAGCGACCTCAGCGCTACGACTATTTTATGTCAGTCTTATAGTACGGGCGTTACGATCTTCTCAGCGCTACGACTATTTTATGTCAGTCTTATAGTACGGGCGTTAGATCTTCTCAGCGCTACGACAATTTTATGTCAGTCTTATAGTACGGGCGTTAGATCTTCTCAGTGCTACGACTATTTTATGTCAGTCTTATAGTACGGGCGTTACGATCTTCTCAGCGCTACGTGTATTTTATGTCAGTCTTATAGTACGGGCGTTACGATCTTCTCAGCGCTACGTCTATTTTATGTCAGTCTTATAGTACGGGCGTTACGATCTTCTCAGCGCTACGACTATTTTATGTCAGTCTTATAGTACGGGCGTTACGATCTTCTCAGCGCTACGACTATTTTATGTCAGTCTTATAGTACGGGCGTTAGATCTTCTCAGCGCTACGTCTATTTTACGTCAGTCTTATAGTACGGGCGTTACGATCTTCTCAGCGCTACGACTATTTTATGTCAGTCTTATAGTACGGGCGTTACGATTTTCTCAGCGCTACGACTATTTTATGTCAGTCTTATAGTACGGGCGTTAGATCTTCTCAGCGCTACGACTATTTTATGTCAGTCTTATAGTACGGGCGTTAGATCTTCTCAGTGCTACGACTATTTTATGTCAGTCTTATAGTACGGGCGTTACGATCTTCTCAGCGCTACGACTATTTTATGTCAGTCTTATAGTACGGGCGTTACGATCTTCTCAGCGCTACGACTATTTTATGTCAGTCTTATAGTACGGGCGTTAGATCTTCTCAGCGCTACGACAATTTTAAGTCATTGATATAGTACGGCCTTTACGATCTCTGTTCATATCATTCACTAAATATGTCAGGGAGAAATAATGGCTATAATTTTTACATTTATTTGAGAAAACCTGTTGTTAATTGTAGAAAAATTGAAATGATGTCATCTCCCATTTAACAGACCGCAACACCTGCCGCACATGTTGCTACTAATCTCGATAAGAAGATTTTGTAAACACACAAAATACTGTTCAATGGGTATGCTGGGTGTTCTGAGAAAACTGTTTTCTTTATCCTCCCAAAATTGTTTCCTGCTTTGAAAAAGCCACAGAAATAACGCCGTTTTACAGGAATGTCAATGAAGCTGTTTTATATAAAATGCTTAAAAAATTATATCAAGAAGGCATTAGTTTTACCAAGGCTGGCAGCACCAAGAAGTACAGTTAAACCCCCTAATCCGGACGATGCCGTTCTCAGGGAAATGGGCTAACAAATAATGGTCGCGTATGTAGTAATGTCTATTGTTAATATAGCCGTTCACAACAGGAAGTGCCCAGAAAGAGGGGATTCCGTACTAAGGGGGGTTCACAGGCAAGGGATTTGGGCTCACTGTGATGTATCCTACTCTCGAAATGCTTTTTTTAAGGATGCATTTTGCAGAAGAAAAGATGGCATAACTCTTGTATACATCACGGCCACAGACCGTCGCCGTGTGATATAAGGCCACACATGTTTTTACTTTTCGTTTCACGGGCCCACCGCCCCTACTGAAAATCAGCTGGTAAAAAAATAATTTAAACATATAAATATTTATTTTTATTATGTCTCCCGCTAGTGATATAGACCTTCTTATACAATATTAAATGTTATGTATAAACTCCATTTCTACATCACCTTCGGTGATTAAAGAATTCAGCTGCAGTTTTGACTCCACGGCAGAATAACTTTCATCCAAAGACATAGCCATTTATTTTTATTTTTATTTCGACCGACTTTGTGTGGAAAAGCTTCAATAAGTACGTGAAACATAAAATTAAGAAAGTATGGCCTAATTCATGCGAGGCCCAGACCTGGTAAGGGAAACAGAATAGCACTGTGAGGACGGAATTCACAAAGCGCTCGTACAATCAACCACGGTCATGCTGTAGGTGAACGAAACGTGGCTCACGGGGTTGAAACTCTTGTGCTTGGAACAAAAATTAGTCTCATACATTGTACCCACTTTGACAATCGAATCCGGAGAGTGACGAGCAATCACATTTCCCACTTGGCTACCCTACCTCCCCTTTATCAATATCAACTGCTACAATGTGCGGAGTCAACGTAGTTAGAATGCGACGGGTTAGAATAGGTCTTCAGCAACCCATGCTTATCATAAGTGACGACTCGTGACTAACGCGATCGGGTGGTCAGGCTCGCTGACCTGGTTGATGCATGTCATCGTACCCAAATTGCGTAGTCGATGCTCATGAGATCAATCACTGGATTGTCTGGTCCAGACTCACTTATCTACAGACCGCCGTCATATAGCTGGAACATTGCTGAGTGCGGCGTTAAAAACAAACAAAGAAAATTTGTGGTTGTTTTTTTTCCTCTTAGACGCGATTATCTGAAACCACTGCAACCTTTTCTCTAAAGCAGTATCTATACCAGTATCATGCTATTTCCTTTCCTACCTAATTGACATATCATCAAATCAAGCAACATTTCAGCTAATTTCTAAAGTATATAGATATCCCAATTTTACTCCTCGTACATCATGAATGCGAAATCCTGTCAATTTAAGTAACATTTTTCTCCTACTGGGCCCTGTTCTTGTTACCTAAAACATACACCCATGTTGAAAATTAAACAAACAAGAAATGGTTATTTGACGATGATGTATTTGAAACGGGCAACATATCCAAGTAACGTTTTTGATAAGGTTTCTATTTTTTTTGGTCTAATCCAGCTTTCAAGTGTGTACTTCCTTTTGCCTGGCAAGTTACATTGATTGATAGTGGATTTTGTATCTCAAACGATAACCAACGTTAACACGAAGTAATTACACTGCTGTGTTTTCACTCACCCTGGTGAGATAGCCTTGTGGGTAGGCGTTCGCTCGTCATCCCAAAGACTCGTGTTCTATTCTAGATTTTGCAGCGTCGTATAGCGGTGACCATCATCAATCCATTCATTTGACTTTCACTCTCAAAACTCGTGAATGTCGTTCTCAAAGCTTTGACTGGTTTTCGCTGTAGCGTTCACGCTTATCTTATTTTTTGACAGGTGGCCTGGCCGTCATCTGGTGCATCGTCTGGCTACTCGTAAGTCGGGATTCTCCGTCAGAGATGCCGGGAATTAGCGAGGCCGAAAAGAAATACATTGAGACATCTATCGGAGATCGGGTGAAATCCAAGCGTGTAAGAATATCTCGCCAGAAATGATAACAATGGAGACAATGGCTCTACAATCATGCTCACTATTGAAATATTTTACAATTGCCCAGCTGAATGTATTGACATGCCCCGCCGGCTTGCATTGGTGCTCACTTCATCGACCATTGGTTTGGCTGGTTACTCAGTAAGTCATTCTATGTTTCTATGACCTGGTGTTGTGCAATGTGTCACAAGAAGTCAATCAATCAAACTGACGCCTGGTGTTCAATGTCACTCGATCGACATCGTTCGATTTTGCTGAAGTAAGTCATACACACTCCGTCATATTAGTGTGTTGTTACGGTTCCATTGTCGTTGCAGACGTACAAGACGCCGTGGTGTCAGATGCTGTCGTCCCGGCCGGTGTGGGCGTGTGTGTTCTCCCACATGACCGCTAACTTCTTTTTCTACATGATACTGACTCAGGCGCCAACCTTCCTCAACGAGATCCTCAAGTTTGACATCACATCGGTATTACTGCTTTCGGGATACTCAAATTAACACATTAAATCATGTTTTATTCATTCAGGGCTATGTTTTGTTACATATGCAGTAAAATACGTTTATTACGAACACGCTTATAACGAACTGACGGATATAACGAACTGTTTTTGGTCCCGTCCATTTGCTATATATATGCTGTATATTTGCTTGTAACGCACTACGGTTGTTACGAACTAAAAGTAGTGGTCTCTTAGAGTTCGTTATAACCGTAACTTACTGTGTTGGTACTTTTATCAAATCCATGGTCCTTTTGTCATTAATGCTTTAGTTCAACATTCCAGGGATAGTAACATACATTGTGATTACGACAGATTAATAATGTGAGTTGTTGCCTCTGTTCTTTATGTTAGAATAGACCTCCTCCGTGGTCTAGAAGTAGCGCGTCCGCCCGGAGAGCGGAAGGTCCGGGGTTCGTTCCCCGGCCGCGTCATACCAAAAGACGTTAAGAGATGGTACTTGTCTGGCGCTCGGTATTAAGGGGCTAAAACAACTACTGGTTGGCTTGGAGCCAGTATACTGTGTCTGAGTGAGGTATTCATGTTAAACTGCGACATGGTATTTCGGTGGGGTAGCACTATAAATCGGCACCAGTCCGGACTAGTACAAGCAGCCACACACACTCCCATACACGTGCATGCATTTTGCTATATAAGTGCAATAATCTCCGACGCGACGTTCATTCCAAATCTAAAAATTTCAAAATTACTATATAAGCAACCCCTAAAACCCCCCTCCTGGATTGCACAAACTCACTTTTCCCCTTTTCGGAAACACATTAAATGGCCGGACCGGGCCCGTGTGCGACATACGCTTGCTGTCGGAAAGCGCACGTTAAAAATCTCCAATATGAGTAAGTAAGTAAGGACGCGACGTTAAATCCCATTTCACCTCACCTCACCTTATGTTAGAATAATGCCATATTTGATAGGCAACTGTTTGAAGTTGATGGGTGATAAAGTAGAAAGAAAGTTTATGAAAAACAACTTCTTTCATATGTTGTCATAGCGACGTTTCGGTATAGATCCTTATACATTTGTCAAGCAAAATTGAATAATGAGCAAGGTACAGAATTACATGGTAGGTGAAGGATTAACAGTAACAACCATTATCATACATGAGAGGGATTAACATGAGTAGGTAACTAAAAACAACGGAAGGAAGATGTTGTGGACATGTAAAAGAAATCCTCAAGATGTTTAATTAAATTTAAGAGTCTGTTGCAGTTAAACGTATAGTTGACGCCCGTCCGTCTCCTGCCTCGTGTCACCGTAAATCTCCATTTGTACCTTCAATATGTCATAGCTATGACCTTGAAGCGAAATAAACGTTTGTTGTTGTTGTTGTTGTTGAACTTGACGGACAGAGAACACACGATGAGGAGGCCAATTAAACAGGAAGCCAATTAAACAGGAAGCCAATTAAACAGGAAGCCAATTAAACAGGATTAAGTTATTAGGTGGGATTACTTGATGAGGTCATAGTAGGCGGATGGGATGAAATAGCCTTGATCCCTGTTGATAGAAGGCTTATGTCGGCGATTCTTGACAACTTTTGCTAGGTTTCTTGTGAAGTCATGGAGGTTGTTGGGGAGGATTTGGATGTTTTCCCAATTGATGTTGTGATTGGGACAGCTGCTGGTATGTCCCGCGATGGCTGATTTACTGTCTGATTTGATAATAGAAGTTAGTGTGCTCTCTGTTTCTGGTGATTATCTTACAGTATAATAAAGCAGTTGTTATCCATACACTTTTTGTCTACTTAGAGTAATCCGACAGTATCTACGCAGACAGACAGACAGACAATAGTTTATTAACGTCTCACTCCTGTACATACATAAAACAGCTTTGTACAACTTGACATAGATTAAATGTACAGAACCATTCAATAGAATTATGAGAGACGAATTATCACAGAATTTATACATAAATGATATAAAGATGATATAGTAAAAAGTTATCCATATCAAAGATGTTTTCTACGATTAAGAATTAAAAAGCAGATTTTGGCAAGTATAAAACACACACTGGAGTCACTGGAAATTAAACAAAGTTTGCCGATATCAGGTATATTTAAAACATTATAAGATTTAGCAATACATTCATTAAAAAGAGTTGCCCTGATATCATCATATAATACGCAGTGAAACAAAACATGGACCTCGTCTGTTACGCTGTCATTACAGTGAAAACATTTTCTGTTGTTGACAGGTACACCTTCGTATCGACCGGTTTCCACTCGAATAGGAGCCACGCCACATCTAAACTTTGCTAGTGCCGATCTATAGTTTCTACGCATGTGCCTTCTCTTCATGTCAGCCTGCTTTGTATTGCAGAACGGGTTCTACTCCTCTCTCCCGTACGTGGTGTTGGTTACCCTGGTGTTGCCGGTTGGGGCGCTGTCGGATTATCTCACAACGAAAGGCTTCCTCAGTCTGAGCGGCGTCAGGAAGGTCATGAACACTCTGGGTAATAGCTGATGTGTGGCTTGTGTGTGTGTAGGAGTGAGTACCGTGTGTTTACTGTGCCGACACCCGGTTAGAACAGTTCCCAGCCGGACCGCGAAGATCCGGGGTAGAATAGGTCTTCAGCAACCCATGCTTGCCGTAAAAGGCGACTGTGCTTGTCGTAAGAGGCGACTAACGGGATCGGGTGGTCAGTCTCGCTGACTTGGTTGATGCATGTCACCTATCCCAATTGCGTGGATCATGCTCATGATGTCAGTCACTGGATTGTCTGGTCTAGACTTGATTATTTACAGACCGCCGTCACATAGCGGGAATATTGCTGAGTGCGGCGTTAAACAACAAACAAACAAACAAACAAACAAAGTTACCAGCCATACACCCTTAGATAACAGAATATGTAAATTCTGCTATAGCGGATGAAGATCATGTTCTTTCCTCGTGTGAGCATTAGGCTGACCTGAGGTAATTCATTTATTTGATCTTGTTACGGATATAAACCTGCTATTCCCACTATATGTTGACCATTGACCAATGTACATTTATTACATTTAAAATAAACAACTATGTAGTCTTTTAGCCGCATATGTTTAATCTTTATTTAAGCAAAGAACAGTACAACTAAATTATTACATTTGTAATTTCCCTTAAACTTAATAACCAATATTCACTATTTAAGGATTATATTATTAAGGGTATTATATGTTGTTGTCGTTGTTGTTTCTTTGTTTTTAAGGGGCGGGGGGGGGGGGGGAGAGGTATGTGTTTTTATATTTTTATTTTATCTTTAATAATGCCTATTATGAAATAGTGCTTCAAAATAATTATTTTATAAACAATGTATTTTAACGCTTTTTGTCGTGTTCCATAAGCCAGTAATGGTTGGAAAGTGTTTTTATATTGTATTTTATATGGCTGTCGTCACGATTCTACAACGTAAACTGAGACACAGCATTCGCTGGTAGCTAGAGGACGCTAAGCTGGATCAGGTGGTCAGAGCTTGTTAGTTAGCTGATAGAGTATCATCGTGTCCTGGTGTCGTAGATACAGGTTTGCCTGGTCCAGATTCGACCATGTAATGTGGTATAGCGTAAATAGTCTATAGCGTATTTCATAATCTGGGGTTCGAACCCACTACCATAGGATCCTGACTCGTCTAAGGGACGCAACTCTTTATAACGAACTTCATGTATAATAATATATCATGTAAGACAAGACAAAACAACTTTATAATCCCCTAGAGCACATATGGACAGTCTGGTCTAATATCTAGACTCCTCTTGACTCCAATTACAGTTGTCTCCGAGTGTTTATTTTGGACTGGTTAGTTTTTATTCAGAAATATGTGATGCTTTGCTGATCGTTTAACTGTCCATTGTTGTCAACTTCCTAAACTATAAGGGGGGCACGGGTGGCCCAGTCGTCTAAGGCGCCGCGATTCGCTGTGCAGAGTTGCGTCCCTTGGGCACGCCAGAAACCTATGATTGTGGGTTCGAATCCCGGTTCGCCCCGATTATGTTTCTAGGTTTGTCAGCACCATACCCGTGCTTGTGGGTTTCACCGAAGTGGTAAACGTCTGAGACCAGCATCACTTCGGGCTTTCCTCTCACATTAAGCTGACACGCCGCGATATAACTGGAATACTGTTAAAAGCGGCGTTAAACCCAACTCACTCACTCACTCCTTAACTATAAAACTTTAACGCCAAAGAATAACCAGTCTCGATTATCCGCGGAAACAGATTCCATTGGGCGTAAATAGAAAAACGATGGGACTTTTGTGAATAGATCAGTGAAGATCAGTGATGACACACACACATGTCTGATTCGCTCTCGTCACCTTATGGCTGAGATAATTCCGACATGACATGAAACGTCCAACTCACTCACCTATTTCCGATGGTCCCACTGAGTTCCCTGTATTCTCCGCAGGCATGCTCATACCCGCTGTATTCCTGCTTGGTCTGGCTCATCTCCCCTGCTCAGACCCGTTGGTAGGTGTCGCTCTCATCGCCGCCGCTGTCGGGACGTTCGCCTTCTGCTTCAGCGGTCACATCGTCAACATGGCCGACATAGCGGTGATGCATGCCGGGACATTAGCAGGTTTCTCCAACACATTGGCTTCTATGCCAGGAATAATAGCGCCTTATATAGTCGGTTACATAACTACACAGGTAAGCCCATCTACGATTACTGATACAGTGTATGCGTAATGACTATGTTGTTAAATGTATTGTGCAATATATTTGCTGATTTTGAGGTTTTTGCCATTGTTACCATCCTGTTATGATGTTAATAAGTGCCTCATGTAGACCAATACAGTTTATACATTCAGTTTTTCCTTGCGTCCTCAAACTGATTGCCAACTTGCAACCTTTCGACTTGCGACCCTTGGCCTCGCTAGGCTTAACCTTCACCTTGAAACTCTTCACAGCCGTGACCGCGTTACCTTCACTTTGCAACTCTTGACCCCTTATCTTCTAACTTTTAACCTGTTACCCGTCATCGTTTTACCATTCACTTTCACCTTGCAAACCATCACATTGACACATTTCACTGTGTTAACCTCATGACTCTTTACCTTATGACCTTTCACCCTACAACCCTTCACCTTGCAGCCTTCACATTGACACACTTCACTTGACCTTTGACCTTTTTACCTTTCACTTTACAACCCGTCACCGTACACAACCCAATCCTTTTTCTTACAACCATCCGCCCTGCAACACTTCACATTCCACCGCCTTATTTCCAAACCATTACCTTCACCTATCAACCCTGCAGCTTCTCCTTAAAACCATTCCCATTGTACCCTTACAAACCTTTACCCTGAAACAGTCATTCCGCATCTTGTTCAACAGGGGCGGTCGGGTAGCCTAGTGGTTAAAGCGTGCGCTCGTCACGCCGAAGACCCGGGTTCGATTCCCGACATGGGTACAATGTGTGAAGCCCATTTCTGGTGTCCCCCGCCGTGATATTGCTGGAATATTGCTAAAAGCGGCGTCAAACCAAACTCACTCACTCACACTCTTGTTCAACAGAAACTTCCCATGCGATGCCTTAGACATCCAGGACCGGAATCATAGATGACACTGACGCTTTTAGACTTTCTAGATAATTATTATTATATATACATAGTAATATCTGTTTTCTATGTTCATAAAACCTCGAAGATCCGGGGTAGTATAGGTCTTCAGCAACCCATGCTTGCCGTAAAAGGCGACTGTGCTTGTCGTAAGAGGCGACAAACGGGATCGGGTGGTCAGGCTCTGTTGATGCATGTTATCGTATCCCAATTGCGTGGATCGATGCTCATGGCGTCAATTACTGGATTGTCTGGTCCAGACTTGATTATTTACAGACCTCCGTCATATGGCTGGAATATTGCTGAGCGCGGCGTTAAACAACAGACAAACGAACTATGTTCATAATATCGATACAAGAATATTTACCATTCATCCATTTCAGGGCACACCCGAAGAATGGCGCACAGCTTTCTACATTGCGGTCGTCCTCAACGTTGTGGGGTCTGTGGTTTTCGTCTTCTTCTCCTCGGCAGTGGCTCAGCCATGGGCTTTTCCAGCTGAGCTAAATACAACAACAGTCGTGGGAGAACAGGAAAAGCCTGACGAGAATCGTGAACTTGATACCATGCTTTTTATTTCCAACAAAAGTATACCGGATTCTCACAAAAAGGAAATTTTAGAAGGAGAACGTCTTATATCGAGCAACAGCAGTATACATAGAGCTCATGATGTATGAGTGGTTATTATGAAACTGTGTGAGTTATGTTTAACGCCGCTTATCAGACCAGGGCCTGACAGTTTAATTTTGGAATTGTGAGGAATGAGTCTTCGAGTGTGTAAGTGAGTAATGTTTAACGCCGCTTCTCAGACCAGGGCCTGTCAGTTTAATTTTGGAATTGTGAGGAGTGAGTCTTAAACTGTGTAAGTGAGTTATGTTTTACGCCGCTTCTCAGACCAGGGCCTGTCAGTCATGTGGCAGGTGTGCCTTAAACTGGGTGATGTGGTTGGTTTGGTTTGTTGTTTATCACAGCACTCAGCAATATCCCAGCTCCATGACGGCGCCCTGTACACAATCGAGTCTGGACCAGACAATCCAGTGATTGATATCATGAGCATTGATCCACGAATTTGGGATCGATGACATGCATCGACCAAGTCAGCGAGCCTGACCAGCCTTTTACGGCAAGCATGGGTTGCTGAAGACCTATTCTACCGGGTGAGTGAGTTGGGTTTAACGCCGCTCTATATCAGGGTCTGTCAGATTAATGTGGGTGTAAAACCCGAAGTGATTCATGTCTTAGACATTTATCATTTGGTGAAACCCACCAGTAAGGGCATGGTGCTGACAAACATGAAGTCATAGTCAGGGGCCACTAGACAATACAGTCTTAGCGCTACGACTAGCAGAAGTCCATATTAAAGTATCGAAGCGCATGTAGACCCTGGGCGAATCTGATATTCGAACTCACAATCACCACTTTCAGGTGCACATTGGGAAATCCGTACCACGAACAATCTTAAAGTATGTATGATGTTGATAAGAATGGCCTGTGATATATGATTGGTTAATGATCGTTTCACATATTATTTTTTTCAATTAGGAATCTTTGTCCTCATAAGTTTCATTCCATATCGTTACCATAGTCAGCTCCCGTGAAGATTACGGGTTAGAATTGGTCTTCAGCAACCTATGCTTGTCGTAAGAGGCGACTAACGGGATCGGGTGGTCAGGCTCGTCGACATGGTTGATGCATGTCATCGTATCCCAATTGCGTGGATAGATGCGGATGATGTCAATTACTGGATTGTCTGGTCCAGACTCGATTATTTACAGACCTCCGTTATATAGCTGGAATATTGCGGAGTTCGACATTAAACAACAAACAAACTGTTGACAACTGTTTTATTTTCGCTCATTTCCATTTTTATACAAATGAGTGTAATCTATTTTACAGCATGCAGTGATGGGCGTTCAAGTGAACATAATAGTCCTTTGTGTTTTTAGTTTGGTTTGGTTAGTTTAATTTTGATATTTATCAGAAACAGATCAAATGTATTATTATTTTAATTATTCTTATTGTTATGTGTTGTTTATCTGCGTGACTGCCATATATGGTCAGTTTCTCGTTAACCACAACCAGGTGTTGTCATGACAATCACCAACTCGTTTTTGTACATCTGATAGAGATTCCACAATAATTTTAATGAGGAAGTGTGTGGTATTACTCTATGTTGATAACATGTAGTTTCACGCATCCTGTATCATTATATAGTCATTCGTTGTGTAGTTACAAGCGGTCGGGTAGCTTAGTGGTAAAAGCGTTCCCTCGTCACGCCGAAGACCTGGGTTCGATTCCCGACGTGGGTACAATTTGTGAAGCCCATTTCTGGTGTCCCCCGCCGTGATATTGCTGGAATATTGCTTAAAGCGGCGTAAAACCATACTCACTCACTCACACACCCCTCTATGATACACCAGGAGTGAAAAAATATACACCCTAAGTGCATATCGTGTCATAATTAAATGACAAATATACATGCAATCTGAAATTAAACAGTGATGCGGCCTCAGTTTGACTTTACAATAGTTATTAATAAATGTATATTGTACGACATTTTCTCGATGCTCGCACTTTATAAAGCTCCCATGTCGTCGTGGCGTCCCGCAGAAGCAGTTCACGTATTTGCCTGTCCTTGTGCCAATACATAAACTGCCGGGCAAAAGAAAGTATACACTTAAAATTGAATTTGAGTGAAAAATTACAAACGTTATCAAAACGGTATTTGGCTGAAAACGTCATTGTCACTAAAACACTGCAGACTTCAGCTCCAAAACTATGATACCCATATCAAATACATCACCATGGAATAACCATTTCTTTTTTGTTCATTTTCAGCCACTAAGTGTGTATAATTGTTTTTGCCTGGCAGTTTATATAAAATTATTTTCCTATATATATTTGAATTTTGAAGGGACTATATAACTGGAGCTGGTTTCTAACGAAGTGTAGGTCAGATACGAACATTTCAGTTATACGTGTATGCATTGCGTTTATACTACTGGGTGTATCTGTCTGTACGCATAACCTGTGCCACTGTTGGATAAATGTTCCTCAGCAATATACAGCAGTAAGAATACATGTAGTCAATGTACATATGATCAAATATAGAAATTTATTTTCTAATTTGGATTTCCGTTATGACAAACTCATAAAGTGAGGATTGACCCAATTTATAGATGACTGTACTCCGTACAGCATCCTGGCGAGCCCCGCCCCTGTGTGTCGTGTAGTGGAGTACACACCAACAATGGCGGATACCTTGTTTGACTGATGCTGTGTGTTGGGTGGATGTTTGGTTTAGACAATCGACTCTATACATATATATCCCATATATACTATTCAGAAATGTAAAGGACCATCCGATTCTTTCATATTACTAAAGCCAGGGCATGGATAACTACAGTAATAGGGAAGAATCGGGTTGTCCTTGTCGATTTTGTAGTTGTAAATATAACCTTTTTGTGGAATTGCGATGCCGATTTATATATATGGTACTGTTGGATATATATATATATATATATATATATATATATATATATATATATATATGTATGTATGTATGTATGTATGTATGTATGTATGTATGTATGTATATGTATGTGTGTGTGTCCGTGTGTGTGTGTGTGTGTCCGTGAGTGTGTGTGTGTCCGTGTGTTTACTTACGGGTGCAATTTGAACATTATTCCAGTTAAACCCCAAAGCTGTGCATAAGTTCGACCTTTACCACTTTGATGGAACCCACAAGAACGGGTTTGATGCTGGCAAAACCCTAGAAACATAATCAGGGCGAACCGGGATTCGAACAAATGATCATCTGATTCTGGCACGGCTCCAAAGGGAGGTAACACAGCACAGCGAAATGTGGTGCCTAAGACGAGTCCACCAGCGACCCCCCATCCCACCCTCATTCAACAAGAATTTACAAGAACACCGTTTTCGTTACGTAAAAAGAGATGTATTTTTATTGTTGATTCTCATTCTTTTTATGCTCTATATTTGTATTAACATTTTAAACTGATTTTTTATATTTATAACTCTTGTTTCTTAAACATGAAAGTAGTACGTATCTATACTCTATAACGTGTGATGCTTCAAGCGGGTAAATGCCCCATCAAGAACCATGACCGGAATTGTCACATCCTTTATGTGGTTCAACTAATTTTACTATTTGTGTGATTGGGGAATCTAGTATCAATCCAGTAGCTGAGATAATCAGAACCACAAGTATAAGCTATGTACATGCGTTTTATAAGCCATAGATTATAGTCATTTTATGTGTACAAAAACAGCGAACCCTTATTGCATGCTAATGTATAAATTGCCATACGGGTTTTCAGTGAAAACAGACATGACTTCAGAGCGTTCTGAATATTCACCTTTGACATGTTGTCAATGTTGTGGTGTTGTGTAAAACCTTTTTCCAATGTTCGAAAATAAAGTATGTGTGATATCCCCATAAAGTATTCTTCTTCATAAGACATCATCATAAAATGACGGCCAAAAATGAAATTGCAAAAATTAAAAACGCATGTTCAAACTAAATCAACGCAAAACATATCGTCCAAACACAAAAATGCTCTTTGCGGAAAGTGATACACGTCAACGGCACGGTTTTGTTTAGAAAATGTGAAAAACGTGCTGCTTGGGCAGCCGAAAAGGCCACCACAGATATGCCACGACTGACACCGAACAACGCGAGCGGGCATGATACAGATGAGAGCCACCCATGCCCACATTGCTAGAACTCTTGGTGACTCATGTGTTGCTGGAACTAACCTGATGCAAAGTTACATACCCTCCGTGCAGACAAAAGACAGGCCAATAACAGTCAGACATTGGGTAACTACGCCCAATAAAGACCGGTACTTGCGGACGATTCCTGACAGTGACGTCATCAGCGACGAATGCCTTAGGGCATATTGTTAGTCGACAGGCAGTGGCCAGGTGACTCAGGGCTAAAGGAAATGAGGGCTTACTGACCTTACAGAGGACAGTTAATGACAGCGCAACATCGTCGTCAGAGATTGAGATGGGCCCGACTGTACGTCGTTGACAGCGACGTTACTGCCAGAGGGTCGTCTTCACTGATGAAATCCGATTCTGTCTGTTCTGTCTGTCATTTTAAATGTTGATTTCCTTGAGATCTTTTCTTGCATTTTACTTCATGCATCTATCTTTTGTGGGGGTTTTAAACTAGAGTGATTTAAAACTATTGTAATGTTTCTTTTGGCCGTCAGTTTATTAATGATAAGTATGTTACATTTGAAAATGTAGCAAATATTCCACCAAATTGCAGCCTGGATGCGATATTTTTAACATTAATTCTGATGACAGTTTTGAATGGCCAGTGCTACCGGTAGGACAGGACATGTTAACCTTTTTCTCGAGCACCTGATGGCATCGCTGATTTACAGTGATCCATTCATATCATTTTCACCTCTAGTTTGCCTGTTACGCCCAGTGGAATCTGTTTCGGCGGTTTACGAGACTGGTTATTCTCTGGCGTTGGTGTTTTATATGTTATGATAAACTGCCAAGCGTATATGCAATGTGAAAAAAGTTCATGCGATAGTATGACCAGGGCTCTACTATCCACAGATTAAATGGAAAACGCGCACGCACACGCACACGCACACGCACACGCACACGCACACACACATTTCACCACGCCTTTCTGTAAGCGCCACTGAGCAGCTGCGTGTGGTAGTAGTATAGAAGTAACTATTTTGGCTTTTTGGTTTTGGTTTGGTTTGTTGTTTAACGCCACACTCAGCAACATTCCAGCTACATGACGACGGTCTGTAAATAATCGAGTCTGGACCAGACAATCAAGTGATTGATATCATGAGCATCGATCCATGCAATTGGGATTGATGACATGCATCAACTAAGTCAGCGAGCCTGACCACCCGATCCCGTTAGTCGCCTTTTACGACAAGCATAGTCACCTTTTACGGCAAGTATGGGTTGCTGATGACCTGTTCTACCCCGGAATCTTCACGGGTCACTATTTTGGCAGCGATGGTTAGTGAAGAGTACAAGAAGTATGTCAAGTTCAAGTTCGGGGTGGAAACATTCGGAATGTGTATTACTGCTACCGAGGAGTT